GGGGAGTTGTGTGTCAGGAACCGGCTGGGCTACACAGATCCTAGGACCTCCCAACAGCACGGAAGTGCCAGGCTGATATCCCACCCCACCGCTCCGAGGCATTAAAGAAAGCCCTTTTGTCAACCTTGGGGTGGACCAAGAGCCAGAGGACCTGCTCAAACGGGCAACTGAATCCCTCGGAATGATTGCCGGTTGAATCAGGACTGAGAAGGCTTGAGTTCGAGTCCCGCCCTCAGTCCTGGACACTCCCTGGGGAACGTTGGGCCAGGCGCTCTCGTCTCTCTCCCTGACCTCCTTCACAGGGTTGGGGTTGAGTGGATAAAAAGGAAGGGAGCTCTCTTTGCATAAAGCCACATTGAATGAAAGACCGCGGAGAAATTAAACGAATCCCTGCCTCTTCCCCCTTGTCTTTCCGAAAGCGTTCTGAGCGCTTGCAGGGTTTCTAGCAACTTCCACGCCCGCTTCTTGGCCCGAGCCAGGACCTACGTGTATCGGGTGGCCACAGGCTGCACAGCCTATTCTGACCTGCCGGTCTTTGAACGGGATCTCTGCTGGGCAAACTGGCGTGGGTAAGTTGGTGAAACTCCTGTGTTTGTGGATCCGGCCCCTCGCTTCCCCCTCCTGCTTGCTTGCACCCCCCCGCTTTGAGCCTTAACATTTCCGATGTTGAAGACACAAGATCGGGGACTGCGGATCCCCAGCTGGGCCTGCAAGATCTTAACGGATCTGGGTTGAGTAGTAATTTGAAGCTGGCTCCCAGAAAACGACCTTGGCATCTGCAGCGTAACCAGGTCGCCCATAAATTATGCAGCGACTGGATGTGCCAAGAGGTGCGTGAACACACTTCCACAATCTGCTTCCTCTCCAGTTGTTGGAGCTGTAACTTGAAAGAGCCGCCGAGTCTCACTGGGGATCGTCAGGTCTCCATGGCTCAGCGCGTTTTCTCCGAGCCTCAGCCAGGCGGACGGGGAAAAGATGGCGGTCTCAGTCAATTCAATCCAGTCAAGGGATGGGGTCCCACGGTCCATAAGAGCTGCTCTCTTGGTAGAGCTGGAAGCGGCCTCACTGTTGCCTTCTTGCAGATCTCTTCTTTTATCCGTAGAGCGAGCTTTCTTAAGAGGTCTCCTATCCAAGGTAGCTCCCCACCTAATCCCTAACAAAATCCTACTCTGAATAGTTTTTTTTTCAAGGGTTAGGGTTTTACCAGGCACTAGGTCAGTGGTTCTCAACCTGTGGGTCGGGACCCCATTTGGGGTCGATCGACCATTTCACGGGGGTCGCCAAGCAAGGCTGTCTGCCATTTTTTTTGTCCGCCATTTTTTCCCCCCTTTTCCGGCGGGTGCCTTACCTCCCTTGGGCTGGGCCAGCTGGTGGTCGGCCTGCTCCGTCTCTGCCGCTTGCCAGCTACGCCTCGGCCGGCGCAGGGGGCGGAACCACGCATGTGCGGTGCTCCCGGGCAGGGAAAGTCCTCGACTTACGACCGGCTGGGTAGTCCTCGACTTACGACCGGTTTAGTCCTCGACTTACAACCGGGTTAGTCCTCGACATACGACCGGTTGGGGTCGCGGCATTAAAAAGGTTGAGAACCACTGCACTAGGTGATCCTGCTGTAGAATTAAGGTGCTCTAAAACAACACAGGTGAAAAATGGACCGAATTTCTAAACAGGCATCAGTCAGAATGCCTTTCTATAAAGGGCTTTTTCAAATACAGGGGCCTTCAGCTATTATAAAATAGACAGAAATGGTGTCCCTCCTATCCTTGGGAAGTTAGCTTTTTCGCTGTTTTCCTCTGTTCGCTTTGCAGCCTCTAGACCCTTTCAAAGAGTCTGGCGAGTTTCCCCCCCAAAAAATTTAATATTTGGGGGAGGACCGCTAGGTCTGCTTTGTAGGACTCTGTAGAGATGCCGAGACAGACCCAGAGGAGCAGGTTTTTTGTAGCATTTTCCTTCTCCAAAATCTTCAAAGGACGAGTTAGGGACAGATCGCCTATCCATGGGGTCACTAGGAGTCAAAAAAGGGCAGGATGGCACGTCCTCAAGTCTTCTTCCTCTGGTTTAGCCACCTGAACCTGGCCGCCATGCAGGAAGCAGCCACGTTTCTGATGGGCACCCACGACTTCTCCACCTTCTGCTCGGCCAGCTCAGAGATGCCGGTGAGAAGCCCCATCAAGAGCCTGAACTGGGTGGAGGTGAGGCCCGCCCGGGGCTTCCTTTCCGAGCACAGCCAGGACAGGTGAGGCTGCCCAGACCTTCCGTCGTCATTTTGCTCCCGTCTCTCTTTTCCCCATAATTTTTTTTTTTCCTGACGGTTGCTAGTCAAAGACTCACTGTATTCTGCTTGGGTATATTCCATGTTGTGTGAATGCGGCAATTGCTTTTCTTAACCGAGGTTTGGGGGGGTTTGTGTGTAGTGAAAATTTTAATTTTAAATATTGATTTTAAGAGATGGTTTTGAAACACCAAGATCGACAAGTGTCATCCGGAAGGGTGTCAGGAAAAGGAAAAAAAAAGAGGGGGAGGAATATTTTATCACTAGAAACGGACCGAAAATGCAACAGGGAGGAGCTCGGATTAATAGGGCCTCCATGGATAAGAATCCTTTCCTTTGAGAGTTTGGTGTTAAGCAATTTGCATCACAGGAATTGAGTTTTTAAGGATTTCACTTTAGTGTGAAATGGGAAGAGGCTCTACTGGCAAGGAAGGTCCAAGAGCTCTCCGTGGTCCTGAAAGTCAGACTCTCTCCTATTTTGCTGAAACTCAAGACTCGGACATTTCACCCTCCAAACCTGCCCAAGTGTTTGCCAGCTTCATTGCAAACCTACGGACTAGAAACTTGTCTGTCAGAAGGGCTTCCAAAAGGCAAAAGACTGGGGTGGTTACCCAAAACTGTGTCTTGTGACTTTATTTCAGACTGGGCTTGTAGTGGGAGGCGTTCAGTAAGGAGTGGGCAGGGCCACAAGACACACACACACACACACACACACACATACACACACCACAAAAGCCATGTGGCTCTTTAAGGACCTAGCTGTAGATTGGGGCTCCCCCAAGACGCTTGGAGGAGACCAGCGAACGAGGATTCGATCTCTGCACAGAGTAAGCTAGCTTGTCAGGAAGAAGAACGGGAGTGGAAGCCTTCTCCCCATTTGCTGGCTTTCTAGCTGCAGGAAGAAGGTACAGCTCGTTTCCGCGGCCAGAAACAACACAATCGCAACTCACTTTTGAGTGCGAGGGTCAAGTCAGGTCTTACTTTAAACAGAGGGCTTCCTTGGCAGAGAGGGGCCCCACCTTGCCCATCCCAAAGGCTGGATTTCAAAAGCCGAAAGCCACCTGAATGCAGGAGGTGGAGGAGGAGGAGGAGGAGGAGGGAGGATTTGAATTCGCATCTGAAGCCCCTGACGTGGCTGTGGCTTCCCTTCAGGGCTGCTTCAGCCTGCCAGGTGGTGGGAGAAGGACCTCCTGCTAGTTGAGTGAGGCATTTCCATGTGATCCGGGGGAGAGGAAAAAAAAGTCGTCGTGTTTGAACCCACTTGAATTTTCAAGTGGGTTTTTTTCCCCTACGCTGATCCAGGCTGACAATTGATCCGCTGAGGCATCCCCACCCACGGACGCTGGCCCGGCCTTTGCTCAGAAATGTCAGCAGGGGAAAAAATTCATCATCAAACTGACATTTCTTCTGATGCCTGCTTTGCGCCGTGAGGCAACCCAAACACCAGCAGGGGCAGTCCAAGATAGACTGCCCCTGTACACGAGGGCTCTTTTTAGCCCTTTCGGATCAACCCCCAACAGCCTTGTGGGTGAATTTGGGTGGGAACCTTTTGCTGGTGTTGCAGCCAAGGGGCTCAAGCCGAGGTTTAGCGTTCAGTGCAGCTGAAGGCCTTGCAGTCGGTCTGGAAAAGGAGCCTCTGAGCATGTTTTTTTAACCAACATGGTTAAGGAAGAGTTTCAGGGGTCTAAACTGAGGCAGGAGACATGAAGACCCCCACCCATTTCTGAATTGTGTTACAAAATATCCATTTTGGCCTGTCGCTGAAATAATGGAGGAGTGGGCCTTAAAAAGAAATCAAGTTCCTAGACCTTAAGATTATGTCAGAAGCTACTTTCTGAAAACTCTCCAGCCAAACGGAGAGTAAAACGCTCGCGAAGCAGNGGTCTAAACTGAGGCAGGAGACATGAAGACCCCCACCCATTTCTGAATTGTGTTACAAAATATCCATTTTGGCCTGTCGCTGAAATAATGGAGGAGTGGGCCTTAAAAAGAAATCAAGTTCCTAGACCTTAAGATTATGTCAGAAGCTACTTTCTGAAAACTCTCCAGCCAAACGGAGAGTAAAACGCTCGCGAAGCAGGTGTGAGACTGGACCACAGCACAGCGGTTTCGTAGTTTGCTCAGAATGGAAATCCGTGGCTGAAAGCTGCAGAACAACAATTCCTCACGGGTCTCGTCTGGAGAGGAAAGCGGTGACCCGTTGCCTGGTTTTGACTTATAAATCCCAATCCGTAGATTGACAGATGAACGGGAAAAGAAAGACTTGGGATCTCCTGAATCCAACCTCCCCTTTTCAAGTTTTACAGAGGTTTTGAGTTAAACTGCAGATTATTCTGTGCTGCTGCCTTCAGATTGTCCACAGAGGATCTATTCCTGAGCAGACCTCCGACTGCTCCAGGGTAGGACAGAAAAGATGGGTGGCATAGAAGTTTAATCAATAAATAATAGTTCGCACCTTCCTGTATGGATTTTAACGCTGCCTTTTTAAAAGCCCATTCTTCTTTCCCTCCAGCAACCTGAAGTTTTGGGAACTGGAATTTGTAAGCCGATCTTTCCTGTACAAACAGGTACGGATCATTTTTCCGACTGGACATTTTGAATAGCGGCGTTAGTCGAGGCAGACTCGTTTGGGTGGCACCCTGCGTGCTTTTTGTCACCATTTTTCCTCTCGGCCCAAGCCTTAGTTATTACGTTTTTACGATTTGAGAGGCAGCCTCTCCACTTTAAAATGAGATGACCACGGGTGGGTGTCCCTGGAGCACCCACAGGAGCCTTCTCCACGGCCATCCGGAGGCTTGGGCTTCGACTCCCATCCTTCCTTCCAAGCCAGCCAGCCCAAGAGAGCTTTGCCCGGGACACACTTGAGGCCACCTGGCAAACAGCCCCACCGTGAAAATACGGATGGATGCCTCTCAGCAGGCCCCTGGCACAGCTGGCGGCGTCCGGTTAGGTAGAATAAATGAATCACGCTGGGGATGAGTCAGAGGCAAGGGAGGTGGTGAGGCCGGCTCTCGCGCGGAAGCGCCCGCCTACAGTCGGTTAGCCACGAGGAGAGGAGGTGGCTTTCCCCCCTGGCGGTGGCTGTCTGTTTTCAGCCGGTACTTGCAAAAATAAAAAGTGAAAAAGCCTTGAGGGGGGTTTTGTTTCCCCCACCGTCTTGTCACTTGCTTGAAAACAGCTGCCAAAAACATTCCTGGGCCTGGGCTGCCTTCCTCAGTGGTGGGCGGGCGGCCGGCCACGTGCCGCTTGCAACCTGCAGGAGCCGAGCTTTTTGTGGCTGGTGGAAATGACACGAGAGACTCAGGGTGGGTGGGTGGCAGCAGCCTCGCCTCCTTTGCTAAAGAGCTGCTTTTCCCAAACCACGGAGCCCACCTCGGTCAGCTCGAAGAAAGGTCACTGGGCGCTCGGCGCCTTCTTTCTTCACAACCCTCCTGCGGGGAAGGCCGGGGTCGTCTTGGGGGCTCTGGGCCCAAGTGGGGGGATTGGATGACGTCTGAAACAGGCTTAAGTCTCTCCCACTGAGCCACCGCTTCGGTGGCTCCAAGTAAAAATGTGTTGTCGATTTGCTTGGGGCCACACGGTGGTGGCTTTGTAAACTAAGCTTCAAAATTAGGAATCCAGACATGTGTGTTTTAACTGCACATCCCCAGTAAGCAAACCATGGCTTATATGATCTATAAACAGCTCATGGCCTATTGGAGTTTAATCACTGGAAGCTTTCAAGAAGAGACTGGACTGCCTTCTGTCAGAAATGGGATCCAATACAGATTTGGGCTGAAGATTAAAAAAAAACAAAAAAAAACCTTGGGTTTGAGATAACCCAGAAAATGGGCGGGTTCTCTTTCTCTTTCAAACAGATGGCTCTTTCTCGGGGGGTCAGACTAGATGGCTTCTGAAGGACCCCACCCAACCCTCCCATTTCATGATTCCATTCCTCGATTTTGCCCCAATTGTGTGGAGTTTGCAACTTTGGTGTTTTCAACCCTTCTCACTCCCCAGGTGCGGCGAATGGTGGGGGCGTTGGTAGCCGTGGGTCAGAACCGGTTACAACCGCATCACATCAAGGAACTCCTAGCGGCCCGGGACTTGATGGCTTATCCCCACAACACCATTGCGCCCCCAGACGGACTCTTCCTCAAGCATGTCGAGTACTACAAAAGTGGTGAGCAAACAGAGGCATCGGGTTGAATTTGGGGTCCCCCTCCAGTTCCAAGGCTATGGAAGCAGAGCACAGGTCATGCAGGATGTCTTTTGGTGTCTGGTTTCTAGTCCTCATGAACACAAGAACCAGCTCAAACAGCTGGACTGACAGCTAACAGTTGTTATTTTTCTGTTCTCAAGTTTATTGCACTGCAGTCCTCACAAGAACAACTCTTTCTATCACTGAGTTGGTTTATCTCCTTCGTTTTGCAATTTTTTTTGGGGGGGGGAGAGGTAGAATTGAGGCTGACATCCACGATTTATCTAAAGTTGTCTCAGAGATGAGGTTGAAACCAATTCACTGCTCAGTCTTACGGCTGTTGTATATTCTGTAATTCTCGGGTTTGTTTTCTTTCCCCCTTCATTATCTTGCAGATTTAGAGACAGAAGATTGAAATGGACTATAATTTCTGCCTAGGGGTTTCTATACATTGCTGGAGGGAGAAAAATTCTCATTTTTCTCATGCTCTGCAGGCATTTTGTTAATAAACTTGCTTAATCCGAAGTTCGACTCCCTCTGCCGAGAAAACGATTCCTTCTCCGGGTGGCTAAGAAAGAGATGGACTCTGAAGGAGTTTGGATTTAGTTGCTTCCTGGCCCCCCTTAAGACATTCTCTGATAAGCAAACGAGAGGGCCTGTTGGAAACCTCCGTGCTTTTAAGGGCTGTTTCTGCTGTGTTGTGGTCCACATCGTCAAAAAATGTGTGCGTACTCAGGGAAGCAAAAATAAATCCGTTTTATATCCTCCATCACCTTTTCAGTTACCCATCCGGGACCAGCAATTTGATCTTGACATCTGGACTGCAGATTCTTGAGTAAATTGCCTTACTATCGTGTGAGATACGTGCAGTTGCTAATGAGTGTTTTTAGCACTAGCTTTCTACAATCTGGGAGAATGACAGGCTATTCCAGTTCTCAGGCTACCTCCGTGTTCTCCATGCCTGTTTGCGGGTGCATCCCCTCTCTTAAGGGTTCTGCCGTTAATTCATCTAGTCAGTGCCATCTTGAGATTCTCAACTGAATTGTAAGTTTCCAGTCCCTAGTGATAAATTAAGAAACTACTGCTGGTTTCCCTACAACCACCAGCCAGCTGCAACCCTTTGCTAGCTTTCGCCTGTGCCACAAACCCGTTGCAAAACACTTTTTAAGGTTCACTTTCAAAATAGTTTATCTTAGCAGAATATTAGAGACTTGATCCCGCTTTTCTGTTAAACACTTGACAGACAGATCTTTTATTCTCTTATTACTCTGCTGTCTTTTCATGCCTCCCTCCACCCTTACTGGAGGCGGGGGTTTGCACGGTCAGGATTATAAACTCTGGACCATCAGCTTTGCTCTTCTGCTCTAAAATCTTGGGGAAAATGCCACCATCTAACACCATATTTCTTGCTGCCTCGGTTGCAGTTTGCAAACCACAGCAGCAGAGCCCCCTCTCCCCTGCTTCCTGCACAAAAGGTGTGTAGGAGGCCCTGACATGTGGGGAGCAAGGGGAGGAAACAGTCTAAAAGTCAAAAGGAAACAAAAATAAGCTCA